AGATGAGATAAATCGAAAAACCAAACATGGCAAAATGCTCCAAGTTCGTTCTTTTTTTTTTTTTATTGCATAATGAGAGGTATTATTAGGTAATCATCTTTCATCCCTTACTCATTCTATCCATATATTATATGATTCAAAATCAAAATTTTTTATTTTTTTTAAAAAAAAAAAAACAATCGAGTTACTTAAATTATTCTCCCACTCCATATTTTTTAAAAATGTAAGAAATTTGAAAGCACAGGTCAAAAGGCGCCTGCGGAAACGCGGTGCGCATTATTAGTAAACGGAATCTTCCATTAAATTACGTCCGTGATAAACAATTCCAGTCCCGAGAGACGTCTGAAACGACACCGTCGCTTTTCAGAGTCCTATAAGACCTGTAAAACTAAAAGCTAACAGAAAAATTTAAGAGACGACGGAGTCCGTGCGACAAACAAACAACGGTCTCTCCCCTACCATCTCTAGCTCTAATCATTACGTATATTGTTCTTCTTCTCGACAAGGACCCACCTTCTCCTTCTTCTTCTTATCGTTTCTGGGTTGATTTTGAATTTTTATGGGTTAAATTTGATGGAGAGATTCAACAGAAGCTCCTGTTTTTGAGTGAAAATTTTATATATGGAAACTAAGGAGGGACAATCTGATTCTTTGACCTGGTCAATGCTTTTTGATTCTCATCCTTTCTGAGGTTCCCACTCCATGGCTGACGATCTCTGTTTCTTCAGTAAGGTTTGTTGTTCTCTTACCTGCCTCGTGTTTTTGTCTTTAATTAGTCTTGCATTGTCGTTAACTGGTGTGAGATTGAAGATTATAATATTTATTTGTTTAATTTTTTGGGTTTCATGTGAATATTCTGATCTGGGTTTTTGTATAAATATATAAATTTCCCATCTTTATTAGATGTAGAAGCAACCCTCGATTTCCTTTTCATAAGGGTTGTCTCTGGATTGAGATGTGGATGTTGATCAGTGTTATGTTACATGTGATTAATTTAATGTATGTTGGGTGAAGTGTCTTCTTTTTTATTTTTAGTGTATTTCTAGTGCAATCAGATTGGACTTCAGCGTCATTGTGAATATTATTATCACATTTTTTGTGATTCTGATGGTTAGAGGAACTTTGTCAATTATGGGATCTTGTTTAGGCAGATTGAGGAATGCCAATTTTGAGATTTTTGTGATTGAAGCTCATTTTGACATCCCTGTAATTCATGAGCTGCAGGATTCTTTCCTCCTAAAGTCTCCAAAGAAGTCTCCTTTGGTATTGAGGATGGTTGTATTAATGTTTGTAATGGTTTGTGGCGTGTATATATTTTCAATTTGCCTAAAGCAAATAAGCACCCGAACCAAAGATGGAATATTGAAGGTTGAAATGTTTGAAAGGCCTTGCCCGGAACCTCATATTGAACCGTGGGAAATTCCTTATGTGCACCACCCAAAATCCAGAACATTTAGCCGGTAAGAAAGTATCTATGTTGTTTGTGGTTTCGTTAAGTTGGTTTTAGTGTGAAAAGTTAATAATGATGCTTTTGTGGTGCATGATTAGGGCTGAATGTGCTTGCAATCCAGTTCGGTATTTTGCCATTCTATCAATGCAGAGGTCTGGAAGTGGATGGTTTGAGACATTATTGAACAACCATACCAACATTAGCTCAAACGGAGAGATATTCTCTGTCAAAGTCAGGAGGAGTAACATTACTACAATTTTGGAGACTTTGGATAAAGTCTATAATTTAGACTGGTTGACTAGTGCTGCAAAAAATGAGTGCACAGCTGCTGTTGGTTTAAAGTGGATGCTTAATCAGGTTAGACTGCCATAAGCCTTCATTTTAATTTCTACTTTTAAACTACTTGTTTTCTAGCATTCTTAGATAAGAAAAGTATTCTTAGCACTATTTCTATTAAGAAAATGTTGTCTTATTAAAAAACCTGATTTTTTTTTTTCTCTCCCATTCTAGAACCACCTTCTTTGATTGAGTCATAACTCATGGGGTTAATGCCCCCTAATGGAAGGCCTGAGACAATTCAATTAAGATTTTAGGAGATGAATAAGAAAATGAAATCCAAAAGTCTAGCTCCCTCATTAACTGAAGTTAGCAATGGATATAAAAATGATTTGTCACTATCGTTAGATAGTTGGTAAATAACCATGTAAGATAAGAAACAGCCTAAAAATTTGATTCTTAGGAGTCTAAATCCTTTCAAGATAAGGAGTGCACTCTTCATATTCTAGCATGCTTGCAAATAATAAACCATGAAAATTGATTTAGTGACACATGGTTGTTTCCCTTTCTCCTGGTTCTAAATTTTTTCTGGCTCTACTTCTCTATGCTTTTTCATCAGTGGCTTTTGTTTGTCCTTCTGAACCATGAGACCTATTTTGTAAAATCTGCTTGTTGTTTCAGAATTCCAAAATCCTTATGTTCCATAAACTCTTAAGTTGTATCATTGTTTTATGCTACAATACTAACAGTGCATTTGGGATTTGCTTGTTTCTCTACTTTTTACTGTAGCTCTTCTATGCTTTTCTATATAGAAGCAATTGGTAAATATTTTGATGTGGCTGTCATAAAAGTTGTTGCCACCCACAGTAACTTTCTTTAAATACTAAGAAGCTCCCTTTGAAGCTTTTGACAGCAAGTTGGAGGGGAACTTCAGGCATTTAATTAAACTTCTATAACTAGAGAATACCACTCAACAGTTTGAATCCTCACCCTAACTTCAAAATATCAGTTATTAAAAAATAGTTATTTGCTCTTATCCTTATCAATAAGCTTCTTTTTTTTTTTTTTTTTTTTTTTTTTTTTTTTGGATGTAGAGTACAAAGCAGCATACAAGCACACACAGTATAGATATCACAACTTAAAACATGGTACACAAAAACAGAAAAAACCTGCATTCACAGGAGCTAAAACCTGCAACTCACTGGTTGTGGGGCCTTAGTCTTTATCAATAAACAACTTAACGAAAACTATCAACTGATTATTTAATGAACAGAAAATTTTTAAAATAATTTGTTTTAGTTTATTAGCAATATAAAACAACTTATATTATCTGGATAACACTCTTATTTTATAGAACAAGACATTTAGGAGAATCAATTTATGTGTTATATTGGTGATTTCATAGCTTTAAAGAACTTCTCAAAATTTGATCATCAAAGATCAAAATTAATCAGAATAAAACCATAACACTTTTTGCAAGACAATTTGCCAAACATTATAATAGCTTTACCAGCTACAGCGAAAGCTGTGAAACAGCAACAGGACATCAGCCTGAGAACAACTTAAGCCACAGCAATTGAAAACTGCAGTAAGTCTAAAGCCTTTATTCTACTTTATTGGCTGAAAAAGAAAAAAGTCAAAATTCTTAATGTTCATGGGGTTTTCTTGTCCTTACTTTATGTTGTGGTAATAAGGATCACAATCAAGCTTTTTTATCCCTTCTTTTTCCCATCATGTAATGGGAGAGATGGGGATAGAATTTTTACCAGCATTATTACGTATTTTCTGACACTAAGGTAATAATGTGTCACCATTAGGGATATGAACGAAATTCATAGAAATGTCCAAAGTTAGAAGATTACTATCAAGCGTATAATATCTAAGAATAAGTGATACAAAATTTCAGTCAGAAGTGCAATCTACAAAGAGAATGGCATTAATACTTATCGACATTTACAATTACAAATAGAGTTTTTGAGCAGTGGATATCTATTTTTTACAGAATTAACTAATGCATATTATAGAAGACCTTGCTAAAGTTTAAGAGAGTAAGGTATAGATGTTTTGGATAACAATTAAATAAATCAAGGAGAAATAACTCTTATAGACGGAAAGCTTTTGCACTTTAGGACATGGGTTGTTGGAGCAATGACTTGTATGTGAAGTTAAAAAAACCTTTTGGGATGACAATGTTTTCTCCCAATTGGTTGATGCAGGGGTGCTAGTAATTATTTACAGTACTCTTCTGAATCTAATGAGGCCATAATTCTATTGATGTTGCTCATAATGATCATTAAACCTCTGAAATGAGCATCCTCTTCTCTTGGACAACCTGGATGAAATGAGGCTGTAAAGCTGTGACAGTATATTTGAAAATAAGAAGACCTTTCTCTTGATTGGAAATACTTAATAATCTCAGTATTGGTTCCTCAGTTTTTTTTTCTTCCCTTCTCTTTTTTTTTTTTGCGTTGACGACAGTTTTCAAACAAATTTGATATACAAAAATAGCACTGCATTACTAAGTGTGTGATTTTTAATACAAACTTGTGTTCATATTCATATTTTTTCTTAATTTTAATCCATTACTGCAGGGCTTGATGCAGCATCACAAAGAAATTGTGGAATACTTCCAAACTCGTGGCATTTCAGCTATTTTTCTCTTTAGGAGGAATCTTTTGCGCAGGATGATTTCAGTACTTGCAAACTCTTATGATAGCAATGCTAGGCTTCTTAATGGAACCCATAAGTCTCATGTTCATTCACATCATGAGGTCTCTCTCTCTCTCTATCTCTCTATTGTCTCTTGTAACTTTGTATGGCCAATTTTTTCAACCATAAATAATTATTTCAGGCAGAGATTCTTGCAAGCTACAAGCCTTTTATCAATGCAACAACATTGATACCGAATCTGAGGCAGGTGGAAGAGACAACTACAAAAGCATTGGAGTACTTCAAAAGCACAAGGCACATCATCTTGTACTATGAGGATGTACTGAAAAACCACACTGTAAGAGAAAAATATTTCTTAAGACAGAAGATGATTTACTTCTTTTTTCTTTTTTTTTTTTCTCATTTTGTCATGTTACATTGGGTTCTTAACTTAAGAGATGTAATGTCTATTTACTCACAGAAATTAGAAGAGGTTCAAGAATTTCTGAAGGTTCCAAGGAGGGAATTAAAAAGTCGTCAGGTGAAGATACACAAAGGATCTTTATCCAGTCATGTTGAGAACTGGGATCAAGTCCAAAAGACACTTAAAGGAACACAGTATGAATCCTTCTTATATGATGATTACCGGAAGTAAAGTACACAGATGATGTACATAGAAGTTTATCTTGTCAGGTCCTTTTCCTTCCTCTTTTCTTGCTTTCACTTCTGTCTTCTTTTTAGATGCATTTCCCATTATATTTTCTAATTACTGGGGCAAACAGGGAATCTACCCTGTTGGAAGTTTTGGCTGCACCAAACCACAGTTTGCTTTGTTCTTTGTCACCCATATTTTTTTAACTCTTAATTTCTCTTTTTATTCTTTTATGTTTCTCCCACGCTTTTTTGTTCTTAATGGAGAAACTCTAATGTATTTAAGTTAATCAAGGAAGAAGATCGACTTTTTACCAATTATATGTTTCAGTTCGTCTTTATTTCAGTTAAGTATGTTGCAGACATGGAGTAGAGAGATTCAATCTTGTAAGAGTATTACAAAATACTCAGACATGCAGTTTTGTTTTGTCTTTTTATTTTTTTTATTTATTTTTTTTATCAGCCAAAAAATGAAAAATCTTTTCTTGTTTTTAGCAAATTGCCCTAGTGATAGACAGATGGTATTTGATCTTCTGTCTGACTGAACAACTCTTGTTTTAGCAACCTCTCATACAGTACCACCTCTATTGAAGTGTTGATATTTTTTCTCAAAAAAAAAAAAATTTGTCCTAAATCAATAATTCCATAATTTTGGAGGCAATGTGTGTAGAGTAATGGCCATGTGAGCAGCAAGTGATCTTCCCAGTCCACCTTGGGTACATTCTGTACAAATTGCAGCTTTGATAGCTCATGTGCCACTAATATTTTATTAGGGTTTTTTTTTTATCGGTAAAAATTATTTTAAAGAGGTTAATTTGTGTATTTTCTTTAAAAATTAGCAAGTAATCCTTAAAAGAAGGGAAATTAAAATTGACAAATATAATGAGATAAAAGAGACTCTGTACTCATTCATCCCAAAATAGTTATCTTTTTAATAAAAAGTTTATCTAAATTATTTCTTTTTTAATTTTAAAGATAAACGAATACTTGTAGTATTTTTTTACTACTTTAACTCAATTTTATTACTCAAGTTTGATCTACACCGTATCACCAACATTTTCTCATCGTTCTTATATCTTTCTCAGGTAAAATGGGCATGAGATGTAATCAACATGGTGAAGATTTAGATCACAATTTATGTACAGTCGGTTTAATATAATTGTGGTTTTTATTTTTTATTTTAATTATAAAAAATTGTACAATTGTTGTTAGTATATATGAATGTGGTTTTTGAATTTTTTTATTTTAATTTTAAAAAATATTTGCAATTGTTGAAAATCAAGATTTAAAACCAAAAACCAACCATTTATCCATTTTTTTTTACAAATAAACCGACAATTTCTTCAAGACAAGTTTTAACTTGGACAACTGAAACTATAACTTCTCTAGTGGTATTAGAACTTTCTTGTTCTTAATTCTTTAATGATTATAACAAAATATTAAAAATAAATAAAGATTCACTTATACATAACTTTTACACACCACATTTACATAAGATTTTGATTATTTATCTATACATTTTCAATAGTTAAGATTTATTGATTTTTTTTATCATATTTATTAAAGGTAATTATTTTTTATTTAAAAATTATAATAAATTTTAACCATTGAAAGTAAAAACATAAATGATTATAATTTTATATAAATGTGGTGTGTAAAATATATGTGCAAATGAATCCCTATTCATTAAAAATCATATATAGTGTAAATGAATCCCTATTCATTAAAAATCATATATAAAACTAAACAAAATGGTTTTTTTTTTTTGGTGCAAACTAAAAAAAAAATATTTTTGTTTGGAGTTATTTTTTATTTATAAATCTAAATTTAAAAGCCAAAAATCATTACTATACCAAACGGTGACTTATTTTTTTATATATACTTTTTGTTATTTATGCTTAATGAGAATAAAGAAATAATATGGATTTTTTGCCTCTTAGAATATATTTAATTTGAGGAAAATTAATAAGAGATAAGTGAAAGGGAAAAATAAATTTTTTAATTAATTAAATTATAATATTTATTAATATTATTATATTATATATTTTAAAAAAATATGACGTTCTAACATTAAAAATATCAAAATATTTAACAATAATTATATGATAAATTTGATAAAATTAGATCCCATATTATACTTTACATATTTAAGAGTTATAATTGAATATTTTGATATTAAAAATATTAAGATATACTAATTTTTCTTTTTCTCTTATGTAATTAGTTAAAAAATTCCTCACTTCCCGATGTTTAGCTCAAATCAGTTAGGCCCAAACCTCACGTCATTATTACATAATGTAAACGTAAGGTTAGTGGGATGGAACGTTAGACCGAGTTTAGACATTTGTTTCTCCTTGAGACCTCTAAATGAAGACTAATAGATTCATCATTCATGAATTTTGATTTTGTTTTTTTTCTTTTTTTGGTCGAGAAACATAGCATGTATTTTGGGTTGACCCAAAAAGGATTGCTCTCTCAATGAACTTTTCACTAACCCATTGCCCAATAGCCCTTTTCCCCCCAACATTTTGACCAAATCTTATTGTTAGTCTGTTTGTTTCTAATCAGAAGACAAAATTGGTGCTTTTTTTTTCAAAAAAAATTAGAATATAAAATTTCTTTCTTTTTTCTTTTATGGTTAACTATGCAAATCAATTGCTAGATTATTGGTAAACACCCATGATGAACTAAAGAAAAAAAATGAAGAAGTGAACATTGACAACAAATGTGGACAACTTAAAGGAAACATTGATTCATATGTCCAATTCATCGCCTACCAGATGTAGAAAAAGGATCAATTTGGCAGATTTGCACCAGTACCATTCCCTATAAAATCCTTTCCCCCTTCTCCCCCCAAATACAAACTAAAACATCCAAATTTGCCAATTATATCTTATCTTCCTTCCCTTGAGCTTCAACAACATGGGTTTCACAAGTGCACTCAAAGGTCTTTTCCTTGTGGCCATGGCTGCTTCCATGTTGAGAGTTAGCATGGCCAACAGGAACTGGACCAACAACTATAACGACACAGCTGGGTGGGGCTGGGGCTCCTACCATCGCCCCAACCGTACAGATACTGCCTCTAGGAATATCGTAGTGGGCGGATCAGATAACTGGCACTTCGGCGTCAATTACACCGACTGGGCATCCAAGACTGCACCCTTCTACTTCAATGATACTCTAGGTGAGTTCAGTACAATCTATTACGAGTTGAGACCAACTTATATTATTGTAAATGAATCCCAACTCATAACAAATGCATGTATGATTACTTTAATTTGACTGTTTAAACTCAACTGATAACTAGTGATTATATTTGATGGTTGATAGTAGATAACTTGCCATATATGATGGTGTAAGGGATGAGAAATTAAAATCCAGAAAGGTACGTATTTCTAAAATAGTTAATTGAACTTGTGGTGGTTGGTTTGCAGTGTTCAATTATGATTCTCCAAACAAGACATTTTCTCACAGTGTGTACTTGCTGCCGGATCTTTGGAGCTTCAAAAACTGCGACTTTAGCGGAGCCAAGATGGTGGCCAATATAACTGAGGGGCGTGGCAACGGGTTTGAGTTTGTACTGAAACAGTGGAGGCCTCACTACTTCGCTTGCGGTGAAGGTCCTGATCGTTTCCACTGCAAGAACGGCAACATGAAGTTCTTCGTGATGCCACTGCTTCGTTGGCCTTACTGAACAACATATAGAGGCTGAGGGAGTAGGGAAGGCGTGCAATGCCATCGCACCAGTGTTTCATTTCTGTTTTCCTCTGTGTTGTTTTATTTTCATAAAAAGATTCTATTTTGCAGTTTAAATTATATTGATTACAAAACTATAACTTTTGGTTAAGCATACAATTACATTCAAAGCCTACCATCTAATTGTCGTTATTGTTATTTCTAGTTTCATAATCCAAACATGAAAAGGAATAAGGATACTGATATAGGAAAATGATTTTTTCTTTTTATTTTCTCTTGTTGAAAAATGTTGGAACACTGTTGAATAAATGAAATGTTGCATTTCGTCATTATTATTATTATT